TCTTGCTCAGGCTGGTCTCGAACTCCTGATCTCAAACAATCCGCCCCCCTCGGCCTCCCAGAGTGCTGGGATTACAGGCGTGAGCCACTGCGCCCGGCCTCTTTTTTTTTTTTTAAGATGGGGTCTCACTATGTTGCCCAGGCTGGTATCGAACTCCTGAGCTCAAACAATCCGCCCGCCTCGGCCTCCCAGAGTGCTAGGATTACAGGCGTGAGCCACTGCGCCCGGCCTCTTTTTTCTTTTTTAAGATGGGGTCTCACTATGTTGCCCAGGCTGTCCACAAACTCCGGGGTTCAAACGATCCTCCCGCCTCAGCCTCCTGAGTAGCTGGAACTACAGGCTCTTGCTACTGTGCTGGGCAAGATTCTGCATCTCTAACAAGCTCTGGGTGCTGCTGGGCCCAGGACCACACTTTAAGGCCCTAACGCTGCACTGTCCACTTGGGTAGCACTAGCCATCTGCAGCCATTTAACTTAGCCAGTAGAATGAAACAGAATGAACTATTCAGTTATTCAGTGGCACTGGCCACATTTCGAGTGCTCAAGAGCCCCACGGGGCCAGTGGCCACCGCATTGGACAGTGCAGATATAGGACACATCCATCATCGCGAAATGTTCTCATGGACAGCGCTACTCTGAAGCTTGGAGCCAGCTCAGCACATGCAAAAACAGCTGGAGGAGCTGGAAGGGGGCCTGTGTGGTTTGAGAACAGAAAGCAAGGAGAGATGACACTGGCTGGACATGGGGTTGGGGACTCCCCAGGCTGTGGGGACCTCTGTGCCACGGTAGGGCCCCATGTCAGGGAAGCCCGAGTGGTTTGTGGCAGGCTATGCCTGGTTTGGGGCTCTGTGTGGGGAGAAGGGGTGCAGGGAATGGGTGGCGCTTCATTTCTCCTCATTGCATCACTTGCTTTTCCCTGGGCCCTTGGGGCGGTTGACAGCCGTGTGGAAGGAGCCCTGGGGCCTCATTTGCGGCACCGACAGCTTTTCCACTCTGTGTGTCGGCCCAAAGGTAACGTGTGCCGTGCCCTTCCTCCCCAGGGGCTCCATGTCCAGCCTGGAATCCTGCACCAGCGGCTTCTCGCAGCTCAGCGCCGCCACCTCCACCTCCTCCTCCGGCCAGTCCCACAGCAGCTCCCTGGTCTCCAGATAGCCGGGCCGGCGCTCCGGGGCAGCCTGCGCAGCCCGCGCGTCCTGAAGTGTCTAGAGGAGAAGCCAGCTTGCCGCCAGGCCTGGGACCACGAGGGCCGGAGCCCCGGGCCTGGACGCTGACAATGTCGGGGCGGACGGCGGGGAGCCAGCCCTTGGCCGGGGTTCTCGGGCTCGCGAGGGCAGAACCAGCTCCTGCGGCTTCATGTCAGGAAAGGCCAAGGCCAAGGCGTCGTTGATCCGACCACTCTTGGGTCCCCCTGGATCCGGGACCCGTCACTGGTTCGCGCCCCGCACCCGGCCCCCACTCTGCTGCATAAGGGAGCTTCTTTCTCTCAAAAGTTCCAATCCTCACCCCAGAACTGAGTCAGCCTGCTGGGGGCCCAGGTCAATTCCTGAACCAATCAAAGTTGCCTAGGAGAATGCAGAACACTGATTGGCCAGCCATGTTGGTCATGTGCCCAACTTGGACCAATCACTGTGACCTGGAATGGGGGCAGTACAGTTATTGGCCAGCCTGGATCACATGTCCCTGGAACTAACCCCGTGGTCTGAAAAACGTAAGGAGGTGCCTCAAAGAGTATTGGAGTCCCCCCAAGAAGAAGCAGGAAAGGATGCCAGGCAGGCAGCAGTGACAGCATTTCAGCCTGGCATTTGATTGCATAACAATGTCCCCTGTCCCAAGATGTGCTTGGAGAGTAGTTATATGAGTTACAGGCCCCGCTGTCTGTGGGAAACTGAAAATCCCCCAGCACTTGGTGGGAAGGCCCTAACCCTGACACCCCGACTCAAGAGGGTGGGTTTCTGCTAAGTTTCAGGCAGTGACCGGGCGACTCAGGCTGTCTGTATGCCCCTCTGGAGGTCCCTGTCTCTCCCGGGGAGCTGTTTAGTTATCAGTCTTTTCCGCTGTAAGCCACAGAAACCTACCTCCCCAGTGCTTAGACACAAAAGGATGACCGTTCATGGGTGCAGGTAACTGGCCAGTCCAGGAGTTCCTGGTAAGGCTGGATCCAGCGTCTCAACATGACATCAGGACTCTCCTGCGGGGTGGAGCTGTTGTCTCTGTCCTCGGGCAGGTCTGACTCTGGAACCAGCTGTCATAACTGCCACGACTTTCCCCAGTGACTGCATGGGGGAGTCCCAGTTTCTAGGGGCCTGAGGACATTTCTCCTTTCCTTTCCTGGGCCACCCCAAAGGCAGCAGGTCAGAGGTCACCAAGTGGCAGCCTGAAGTCTGATCTGGCCTGTCTTTAGTGTTGGTTTTTTTTTTTTTTTTTGCCTTTAGAGTGGTTTAAAAATTGGGGCATTTCACATAGAAATCAGAATTTCTGGCTTCCCTTAGGCATTTGGGAGTGTTGGCAAAGTGGGATCACTATTGCTGCATGACGGCAACACCTCCGTGTCCTTATATGGGGCCACACCAGTCCCCACCCCTATGGACTAGTGCCCAGCCCACACCACGCACCCTCACAATCTGCCTGTGACGGGCGTCACTGACTTAGCTCCGTCTGCAGCCTGGGCTCCTTTCTAGGGCCCAAGAGGCTGAGCCTCATTCTTGTCTCTTAGCTTTGCTTAGAGTTCGGGGTCATCTCTGGCAGAGTCACTGGGCCAAGGGGTGGGTGTACGACCACAGCAGGGGTGAGGATCCTCAGACCCTCTCGGTTCCCCTTCTGAGACTGCTTTCTCCCTTGGGAGAAACCCAGCTCAAACTGGCTTAGCAGCAAAGGGAATTCCCTGGGTCCTGTATTTGGGATGGCTGAGGGTGCCTCTTGGTCCAGGTATGGCTGGATCCAGGAGCCCAATGTCCTCAGGCCTCTCAACTGCACCCAGGCCTCTTGACTCCACATCTCTGCCTACTGAGCTCATTCTTTCTTCCACTTGGTGGGAAAGGGGGCTGTCAGCAGCCCCAAGCCTATAACCACGGGGTCACGATCTCTAAGACAGAGACACTTTCCCCTCTCAAATCTCATGGAAGGCTGTGACTGGCCCATCTTGAATCACGTGCTTACTCCTGTGACCCATATTGGCAAGGAGCCTGCGACTGGCATTCCCTCCACAAGCAACAGTGGGACTGGGGAGCCCAGGCCCCCAGTGGACAAGAGGAGCTGGGCCACAGAACCAGCGAGTGTCCATGGTGGTTTCTGCTACAGTTCCCTTCCCATATGGAGGTCTCTGGGACCCACACTGAAGCATTGTCAATGGGCCATTCTTCCTGCCTTTGGGAGGTCTGCAGTTCAAAATAATCCAAGGAAGGGGCCGCCAAGATTTTGGCTTTTAAATTTCCCCCAAGCCAAAGGGTGGAAGCTCCATCTTTTTCATTAATCCATTGTGGCCGGGACAGAAACAACCCACTCTCAGCTTGACTGTCGGTGTTTGGGAGCCTGGGTCTTGAATTTAGATCAGGGTTCAAACCCCAGCCTGCCTTCCACTAGCTGTGTAACCTCAAGCAAGTGACTTAACCTCTCTGTGCCTCAATTTCCTCATCTTTAAAAGTGGGGACAGCAGTGCCTACCTCACTGGGTTGCAGTGGGCTGAAATGAGAGAGTGGCTGTGAAGTTCTCAGCACAGCGCACCCAGAATGCGTTCACCGAATGTCTGCGACAATTCTCATCATTTACTGCTTCTTATCCAAAGACTCCAGGCTCCTTCCTGAGGACGCCCGTCGCTGTTTTTCACGAGGCAGCGAGGCTCAGAGCGCCGCATGCATTCAGAGAAGAGTAGATGTGGAGACACTGTTTCCCTCGGAGCTGGGCGTAGTCTGTAGTCAGACTTTCCCTTTTAGAAACTGTTTTCTGGGCAAATCCACTAATCTGAAAGATCTGTGTGGCATTTCCCTCAGCAGTTAGAGACCATTTTCACTAGAGGTTGAAGAGTTCGAGGGTGTTTTTTCCTCTACTCTGCACTCTCTGGAATTCCGCCCCCTCCCATGACATTAATTTGTTCAATGTGAGTAGCATCATTCTTTTCACCAGTCTGTTTCAGGCCATGAAACATGATGTCTTTTGTTTGCCTGGTCATTTGCTTCAACCAGAAGCAGTAAACATTTCAGACTTGGATATACTTCTCTTGTCAGCTTCCTAAAACCCTGGAGGTTTTGCCTGGGCTTGTTCAAGAACTTTGCAGCGGTTGTTTATAAGACTCTGGAGCATCTCAGCAGGGCTGGTATCACCCAAAGGGTTGCAAATTGGTTCTTGGGGGGCGGGAGAGAGGATAACATTTTTTATGTATAAAGCGCGGACATATTGTATGAGTTTCCTGTTCTTTATCCACACCGCTCTGGAGGCCAGAAGTCCGGAATCAAGGTGCTGGCGGGGCCGCGCTCCCGCAGAAGGCTCTAAGGGAGGGTCCTCCTTTGCCTCTCCCAGGTCCTGGTGGTGCCAGGCGTCCTTGGCTTGTGGTCCCATCACTCCGATCTCTGTCCCCATCACCACACTGCCTTCCTCCCCCTGTGTGTCTTCTAAGGACACCAGCCATTGGATTTATCCTAAATCCAGTATAATATCATCTTGAGATCCTTAACTGATCACTTCTGCAAAGATCTTATTTCCAAATAAGGCCATATGCTAAGGTTCTGGGTGGACATGCATTTCGGGGGGACGGTATTCAACCCTTGCATGCACGCACGGTATATACAGAGATGCATAGTTTGTCAGTGGTATTAAAATGCAGGCCTCTGGGGCTTGCTCAGCACGGCTGAGATTCTACCTGCTGGTTACCAGGTGGACGCCCCATGGGGTTTTACCAAAGAGCCAGACCTGGTGTCCTGGATGCTGCATCCCAGGACAGCCACAGTCCTGACATCAGAAGGGTGTGAGGGGCCCTGTCCAGGGTGCCACCTGTCCTTCCTGTGAGCTCTCTTGGGGCTTGGAACAGGTGTACTGGCAGCCACATAGGTTGTGGGACTCTGAAAAGGCTCCTTTGTCTTGGAACTGGGGCCAGGGGCTGTCACTTGGGAGAGCAGAGGTGTGGTTCCTTTGTGTGATAGCATGAGGGTCACCTGTCTCCCCAGCTCCTGTTACCCAGCCCTGCCCAACACAGCTCTGGGGGGAGGAGACGGCCCTCCCCTGCCTCGATCCAGCGCTTTCGTTCATTCGCTGTGGCTCTCCATGGATTTCTCTTGAACCGTGGGTGGCGGGTTTTGAAGGAACAGCCAGCTGACTCGTGGGTGCGGTGGGTGAGAAAGAACAGCCCCGTGGCAGGAAGACGGCTCCTGAGGGTGGGCGGGAGCTGGGATCAAGTCTGAGCTGCAGGTCCCTGCTGACGTCTGTCTCAGCTGCGATGACTCCCCAGGGCCTTCCGGGGGCCTGGGCCCAGAGAGGGCAGAGCACGCCCAGGGCTCCCTCGTGGCCCAGAGGCTGCCCCTGGGACTGGTTCTTTCTCCCGGGCGCAGACCTCTGGGACCTCTGTGGAGGGAGCCTCAGGCATTAGCTGCTGCTGTGGGAGCGGGGGCAGGGCCAGGACCTCCCAGGGATGGCAGAGGTGGCTGTGGCTGCCGAACGTCTCTCTAGCCCTCCTCCCACTCCCCTCTTTCCAGCGCCCAACCCCAAGGCATTCTGCAGGGGTCCCGGTCCCCAGAAAGCACCACTTAAAACCTCTGACTTAGCTTTCTGGAGCCATGATTTTCTTGAGACGCTGACACCCGATGGAAGCTGTGGACACGCACACTTGAACTTCATTTCTGTTTCAGGGCTTCAGAGAGCCCTGAGAGCCCACCCATGGACGCCAGGGGCAGCAGCTTTCTGGGGGCCTTCCCGATACTGAGGTTCTAGGTAGAGCACCCCACAGCTGACACACGTCGCTGTGGCAACTGCCCAGCACACGGAACTCTCGGGGGTCTCAGTCGGGCTGTAGAAGGGTCTTTAGTCGCTGCCAGGAGGTCGCGGAGGGAATCCTTGCACTGCCATGACCAGTCCCCGTTAATCCCTGACCAGCTCGCCTGAAGCTCAATGGCTTTATATTTGTGTCACATGTGTCCCCACCACCGCCAATACCAAAGGCAGGTATTGGAATCTCAGACACTGTTCTGCCTCCTGCTCTGTGTCCCATCTGAGCTCTGCAGTCCAAAATCTAAATGCCCGAGTCCAAAAGCATGCCTCTCCAACAAACAGTATGTGATGAGCGTTGCATTCTTTGGGTTACCAGAAAACCAACATAAACCACCTCGAGCAAAAATGTGAATTTATGGGTCCATGTCATTGGGAAGCCCAAGAGTGAACTTCAGGTATAGTTGGATCCAGGGGCTCAAATCCCGCCCTAGGTTTGGCCCTTCACATTGGCTCGCTCTCTGCATGTCTTGGTGCAGGTTAGTTACTCTTCTCTGTGTGGCCCACACCCTGGCAGCTGGACAATGTCCCCCAGGGAGTTTCTTCCTCCGATTCCAGCAGAATTTCTGGGGTGGGCACTGACTGGCTGGCCTGGGACAGATGCCCACCTCTGAGGCCCACCTGCAACTTGGGGGAGGGGTGCCAGCCAAAGCACCTGGATGGCGAGTGGGGGAGAGGGAGGGTCTCGAAGGTAGCGCGATGGAAGCCTGCAGCCAGGGCTCCGGATGCCGTGCCCGCCTCCCCGCACCCTCACTGACGCAGACAACTGCAACCTGCCCTCCAACGACTGCCTCTGGCTGCCGGAGCACACTGCGGCCTGTGTGCGGCAGACTGGCCGTGCCGGGGCTCACCCCTGGAGCCGCCCTCGGCCCATGATGAGTGGGTGCTGGCTGACAGATACCCCAGCTTCCCCGCCCTTGAGTGGTTCCGCCGAGCCCTGTTCTACCATCTCTCGCAGAGGGCCCGGCAGTGCCGAGCCCGGGTGCCTACCACACCTACCTGCTCACTAACGCGCCCTGTGTGCGCTGCCTTCCCTTCCCTGTCCCCGCCAGTGCGTCCTGGGGTCACCGCCCACACAAACCACTTGCTCTCACAGCCTTGTCTCAGGTCCTCCTTCTGGGCACCCAGCTTAAGACAGGGCGGTAACTAGTAGGCGCTGGATGTTGGGCAGGCAGCGGTGACAGCTGGCAGTGACAAGTTACAGTGAAACTCCACGGGGCCACAGAGGACTCACGTTCTCAGGTATTGAAGTGATCACCGGGGCCCCCAGCATGCCGGGACGGGCCGTCTTCGGTGACGCTGTGCTGCCCCCAGGCCTGGAACCCACCGCGCTGGAGCACAGCGCCATCACTCCCCGACTCAGCTGCCAGCACAGCAGAGGACAGAGAGGTCCCCTCAGAGGCCAGGGCTTTTAGGCCAAGGGTCATTTTAGGACAGCCGTCTTTGGGGCCGCTGTCTCAGACCCCCTGGGAGTGCTCCCTGCAGATTCCAGGACCCCTCTCCCCGAGATTCTGACTCAGCGGGTCTGGGACGGAGCCCAGAGCCTGCATTCATAGAGCATTCCCGGGGCACACACTCGGACCTGCACCCGGGCTCGGGAGCTGCTCCCCAGGATACGCCAAAGCGATCCCCAGGTGCCTGGCTTTGCAGCTCCTCTAGACAGGCAGGGCCTGTTTCCCTCCACCCGGGTTTGGGCTGGGCTGGTGACCTGCTTTATCTGATAGGATGTGCTGGAAGTGAGTTCACACTAATCCCGACCCAAAACCTTTCATGCTTCCCTCTCGGGATTTGTCTCCATCTTGACCTTAAGCCTGAGCTCGCGTCCTGGGGCCGAGACATCCCGTGGAGCTGCGCTACATCATCAGGTACATCGCCGTCGCCACGGTGGCCCAGCTGAAACCACTGGTCCAAGACCAGAGTAGCTGAACCACCAGCTGACCCGAGAATCATGAGAAATATTTTTCAGGACAAGCGATAACTACTTGTTCTGAGCCACTTCGTGGAGTGGTTTACATGCAGCAACAGAGAGCTAACAGTCGTACCACGTTTTGGGGGTACGGGCCTGAGAACCGGCAGATGGTGGCAGCCCCTCTCCCATCTCTCCTCCCCAGAGAGCCGCTGAGCACAGCCACACATATGGGGGCTTTTCAGGCACTTCCTGAAGACCCTTCACGGGCCACAAGTGACCAACTCATACTCACAGGCTTGCTGGCAGTGACTGTCACTACTCGGCTGCCGCTGCCTTGTGAGAGTGTCCCCCGGGGCTGCCAGCTCTCTCTCCTTTAGAGAAACCAGAAATCTGGAGATTCTGTTAATTTCTGGACTTTGAAATGTGGGTAACTAATTTAAATTCTATAAAAATACCGTGAGGACTAACTAAACCCCTGCCCTTCCAAGTAGGGTCTGGGGACCTGAAGCGTTAGCATCGCCAGGGAGCTCGTTAGAAACGCAGATCTCTGGCCCCACCCCAGGCCAGAATCTGCAAGCGAGTATCTCCAGGTGACGTGGGTGCACGTTCAGGTCTGGGAAGCGCTGCATGAAACGAACACACCAGGGAGCTGCGTCTGGCTCTGGGCTGTTTATAACCGGCTCCGGTTAAGAATTCCCCCTGTGAAGTCCAGGATTTGGAATTTGGACACCACCTGGTGGCTCCTTTTATTATACCAATTTATTCAAGTGATAGAAAAAACTTCTCGGCAGCAGGATGACAAAATAGGTCTGTAAACATGATTTCGCCCCCGTCCCTTCTGCGGAGCTTCCTATGGCAGGAAATACTATTCTCGTTGGCAAATCCAGTGATGAGGTCTGTCGAAAAAGGGTCTCGGGGCGTGGCTGGGAAGGCAGAGACTCGTCCCTTGAACCCACCCCGACCAGGGGGGCTGGCTGGGATCTGCCACTTTGTCATGATTCGGTCACTGAGTTGGGTTTGCTAGCGGCCCCTTCCCCAGGAGGCCGGAGACTCTTTGGCAGCAGAGCAGACTCTCTGGGGGGCCCGGGCCCCCCGAACAGCAGACACAGGCAGGAGGGAAGGAGGCAGAGTCTCTCCAGGGAGCACCGCACTGCTGGGGTGGCAGGGCCAGCTGAGGGCTGAGGCACGGTTGCATCGGAAGCTTAGCTGTAGCGCCCGGGCTGTGGTCACCCGGACGGCCCCTCCAGTGGCCTCGGAATTCCCCCTGCAGAAGCTGGACCCGTGGAAATGGGCCTTAGGGACAGGTCGTCCCGGGCGGCCTGAGGCTTCAGTCCTTGAAGGGGTTGCAGGAGCCCCCGGGCTGCTCCTTCTCCGCGGCCAAGAGCTCCCCGTTCATCTCGTGCAGCGGATGGTACACGTAGTCCCCGTCCAGGTGCCGCTGCCTCTCTGCTCGGGAGCCCAGGAGCAAGGCCACGTTGGCTGCGGTGCTAACCAGCAAGAGGAACACCAGGGCCAGGGTGAGGGCCAGCCAGGCGGTCCTGAGGACAGAGGGAGGCCCGAGCTGGGGTCACCAGGTGACTAGGGGCTGGGGGAACACTGGGGAGGCTCCCCCTCAGCAGGGGGCACCAAGCTGGGGGCTTCCACGGGGAAGGCTGACGAGCAAAGTGGACCAGGTGGGGACGGGGCCACTCTTGAGATACGTGCAGAGAGCAGCGGGGACGGTCGTGGTGCAGGACGCAGGCCAGTGCTGCCACCTCTCTGGGTATCTCAAGAGAGGCCAGACATCTTCTGTGACTGTTACTGATTCTAAGATGTTGCTGCTACATTTTAAATTTTAAAAAATTGCACCGGCCAAATAAGACACAGCTGGGGACCTCACCTGAGTTCCAGGGGGTGTTGAAGACAGAGGGGGTCCCCCTCTCTCCAAGACAGGGAGCTGGCCGGGGGCAAGGGCAAGGTGTTTTGATGACTCTTTTTTTTTTTTCATATGAATCTTGGAAAGAAGCCCCCAGTGCAAAAGCAGCCACTGCCCGGGGCTGGCCCCGCCTCCCCAGCTCTCCTTCCCTTGCTGGCGGCTGCAGCGGGTCCCCGGGGTCCACTTCGTTCCTGCCCTGGTGCGTTTGTAAGCTGAGTGCTCCACAGCGCTTTTTCCAGGGTGGTCCTGAGCCTTCAGGGTCTCAGCCCAGACTCACCTGGGCGGATCTCCAGGAGAGGCCTGGGCCCTGCGCTTCCGACGAGCTCCCAGAGATGCTCCCTCTAGGACGATGCCCACGGAGCTTTCCACCTGCACCCACGCTAGTGCCCCCTGCAGAGTCCGGGCTGGGCCGAGGCACCCAGGACTGTGCTATCGGGTCTGAGAACCATCAGGAAGAGGTTCTCAAAGTGGGATCCCCGGACCAGCAGCATCGGCCTCACCCAGGATGGTGCTGGAAACGCAGATCTGAACCTCTGGGGATGGGCCCAGGGATCTCTTTTAACAAGCCCTGGGGGGGACTAAGTTCGAGACCCACCACCTTAGAAAATGGAAAGAAAGGCACCAACACAAGGCCCGAGCACGCGGGGTGCCTGAGAATGAGGACAGCAGCTCAGGTCTGTGCTGTGCCCAGCAGCCGAGGAAACACAGCATGAGACTTCACGGCCAGGGACAAGCAGCCCTCGGCTTCCCCCGACGCCCACCGGGCAATGGCCGGAGGCTCTTCTCATCATCCTCCTGTACTGTCCAGTGTCTGCCAGCATCGGCTGTGACTGTCCCTCTGCTTACACTGGAGACATACCACCTGGGTGTCCCTGCTCAGCCCCTGGGCAGAGGCCAAGCCTCATGGGGAGGGGGAGGGGGTTTTTCTGACCTTTGCCCCCAGCTCCTGTTAAGCACATACCTGGTGAACGAGGACGCTTCCCCTCCCTCATAAGACTGGAGACACTGCTTCACTGTAACACACCAGAGAGAGGCTGAAGGGGCTGGAGGAGAAGGGTCTGCCGTCTCCTGTCCCCGGAGGTCCTGGGAGGGGCCTGTACCTGGGGAGATGCTGCAGTTGCCAGTCCGGGGGTCGCAGGGACACTGGTGCTCACACTCGCAAGGCTTCTGGCAGCCTGGCCCGTGCCAGCCAAGGGGACACTCTGCAGAGAAGAGACGAGGACAGAGGTCAGAGCCTTTCTTGGCAGGACAGGATGGCTCCTGGGTGCCTGCGGTGTCGGGCTGGAGGAAAAGCATCTCCCAGCTCCCCCCAGGCCAGGCCCTGAATGCGACCTTATTTGGAAACGGGGTCCTTGCAGATGTAATTAAGTTCGGATCTCAAGATGAGGTCATCCTGGATTTCAGGTGGGCCCCAGAGCCATTGCTGGGGGGTCCTTACAGGAGACGGCAGAGGGAGACCAGACACACCCAGGGATGGGGCCACGGGACGTGAGGCAGATACAGAGTGACACGGCCCCAAGCCAAGGAACACCAGAGCCGCCAAGAGCTGGGAGAGGCAGGGAAGGGCCCCCCTCTGGACCTTTCTGAGAACGTGGCCCTGTTGCACTGTGATTTCTGACACAGCCTCAGGACTTGAGAGCAAATCCCTGTTGTTTCAGACACCCGGCGTGTGGCACGTGCTGCAGCCACGGGAAGGTCACACAGCGGTTCACATGTGAAGCGAGGGCGGGACACAAGCAACTTCCCAACCAGACTTGGAGATAGAGGCAGCGGAGGCGCTCGGGGCCGCCACGACCACCCTCTCGCCATCGCCGGGGACGGCCTGGCCGCGCGCACCTTCACTGCAGTTGGTCCCCATCCATCCAGCCTCGCAGCGGCAGCCGGCTGCCAAGACAAGACGGAGAGGCCAGGTCAGGGCCCAGGCAGGGCCGGGGCCGGTCAGAGCCGCCTCCCCGGGACCCCACTCACTCTCCGTGCACAGCCCGTGATCGCTGCAGTTGGAGGGGCCGCAGTCCAGCTCGCCGCAGCCGGCGCCCCGCCAGAAGCCCCCCGTGCACTGGCAGCGCCCCTCCACGCAGGTCCCGTGTCCGTGGCAGTCAGGTGGCTGGCAGCGGGGCTCGTGCACGCACACCACGGTGGACACGCGGCGGGGACAGCGCCACATGTTGTCCTGGCTGCAGGGGGAAGCAGGGTGTGAGGAGAGGCCACCCCAGCCAGCGCTCGTGGCGGCCTCTCCCCATTCCCACCTCTCCAGCCTTTTACAGGCTCCCCCGACCCCTCCCACTCCTCGGGAGGTCTTTCCTGACCCGCTGACCCCGCTCCCAGGCATGGGTGCTCCTGGCATTCTGACAGGGAGGGGTCCTGGCCCTTCCTGCTCACTCTTGAACCCCCGGCCCCGGCACACGGGTGGGACGCACTACTGGCTGAGTGGGACAGGTGGGCAGGCCTGGACGGCGGCCCTTTAGAAGGAGGGCTCTGATGTGCTTACCAGTGATCCGACGGGTAACTGGCCAAGGTCCCGTTGAGCACGAAGGTGGCGGAGCCGCCTCCATCCAGGTTGATGGCGTTGACCACGTCCTGTTTCAGCAGGAACTCGGCCATCTCCCACAGGTTAATGCTGCGGCACGGCAGTGGCGCTGCTCAGCGTCCGCCACCGTTTCTGGTCTAACTCGTCTTAATTACAACAGTGAACAGTGTCCTACCCACTGTGGCAGGCAAGTTTCTAAGTGGCCCCCAAACATGCCCTGTCCTGCTCCCCACCACCAGTGAATATGCAAGATCACATCCATGACTGGGCTGTCATACGGCACGGGTGTCCTTAAGGGAGGGAAAGTGGCCTGGAACATCCGGGTGGGCCCATCAGAATCAAGGAGCCCTTAAAGGTGGGGCACTTTCTCTGGCTGGTGGCAGAAGAGGAAGTGAGGGGGATTCAGCACACCCAGCTGGCGGCCAGCAGGGAGACGAAGATGTCAGCCCCACAAGGAGGGAACTGGATTCTGCCAACGACGCAACAAGCTTGGGAGCGGCCTCTTTCCCAGACGTTCCAGATAAGAGCCCCACCTAACCAACGTCTTGATCTTGTCCCTGGGATCCCCTGAACGTGGAGCACTCCCAGTCGAGTGTTCCTGGAACTGCAACCTACAGAACTCTGATCCAACAAATGGGTTTGAAGCTGCTAAGTTTGTGCGAACTGGCTTTGCAATGATAGCAAACTAATACGCCCTCTCGCCCCAACTCCCAGGACTCACCCGCGCTGCTCCGTCTGGCCGTCCGCGTGGAAAAGCACCAGCTGCCCCTTCCGGTCGTGGCCCACGGCAGTCCTGGCCGATACCACGTTCACAAACTTGCTGAAGGAACCTGAAGGGGAGGCAGCCTGGCTGACCACCCTCTCGAGGCTTCCTGGCTCCTCCTCCTACATGTCAAAAGCAATTCTCCACCCAGCCACACTGTGTCTCCCTGCCTGCCCCTCCACCAGCCCCAGCCAGGGCTCTTCTTACACGTAAACCTAGTGACGATGACGTCAGCCTCCAGGTGAGAAGCCTCCAGTGGCTTCCAGTAATCTCAGAACAAGATCCAAAGGCCCAGCATGAGCTCCCCGCTGCTCCTCCTGTCTCACCTCTGGGCGCCCCCAGTCCCTGCAGCCGCTTTCTGCCTTAGGGCCTTTGCACTTTCTGTTCCCTCTGGCTGGGAGCTGCCTCCTCCCTAGCACTTTCCACGGCTTGCTCCTTCTGATCTAAGATCACCTCCTCCGTGAGGTCTCCAGACTGCCTGCTCAAAAACAGCCGTTGCCACGTCAGGGCCGCAGCGTCCCTTCCTTGCCCCAGTACTCGGCATCCCAGTGGTCCTCAACCTGGAACATCCGTCAGCATCACAGAGAGGGCTCCTGGGCCTCACCTCCTGGGATTTGGATTCCGTGGGTCTGAGGTGGGCGGGGCATTCATAACAAGCTCCTGGGTGATGCTAGTGCACGGACACTCTAGCGGTACTTTTCTGTTCCCACGTCCACCGCTCCTGCCCCCGTCTGGCCCCATTCCCCCAACTTCATTTTTCCTTCTTAGTGCAAACCAATTCTTCTCAGCATGTCATATAGCTATTTTCTTATTCCATGTAAGACTGTCTTAATCCTGAGTACCCAGAATAGTGCTGGGTACAAAGTTGCTGCTCAATGAACACTTGTCCAAAGACTTAAGAAAGCAACCCACGACACACTGTTTCTGGTTCTCATGAGGGCTGTTGCCACTGGCCTCCCCTGCCCCACACCTGTCTCCTGCGTCTCATCGCACTCGGTGGCCTGGCTCTCGTTGATGTAGACGCTTCCATTGCGGATCAGCCACACGACCCCGCTCAGTAGCTGCACAAATGGGTTCTCAGTGTCCAGCACCTCCTCCTCGGACAGGTACCTGGACCCAGGGAAGGTGCAAGGCTCACTCACCAGCGGGGGCGGCTGTGGGCAGTGGGGCTCCCTGTTCCCCCAATCCTCCAGCCCACTGCTCGATTCCTCCTCCTGGACCTGAGTGTGGCTGTGGGGCTCTGCAGCTCCTGGAATCTCGCCAGGCAGCGCTCTGACAATACCCACCAGGCACGTCTGCAAACAGTCTGCATTTAGTATAAACAACCATTCCAAACAGATCTCAAATCCATCTGTGGCCCTCATCTCCGGGCCGTCACCCCAGCCTAACAACACCCTGATGCCTGTACCAGCCTCTTAACTGGTCTCCTTGCTTCTACTCTAGTCTCCCCAACCTAATATCCATGCAGGATTAGAGCAAGCTTCTAAATAGTCAAATAACTGAAAATAACCCAAATCTTCAGTCCCTGTTATCCTCTGATACCCTGCTCTTTTTTCCAGTCCCTCACAAGCACCAACCCCCCCTGCACCTCTGAGCTTTTTCACTTGCTGTTCCTTCTGGCTGAATGCTCTTCCTGCAGTTCTGACCTTGGCTGACAAGTCTCAATCTTCAAGTCTCAACTCAAAGGTCACCTTCTCAGAAAGGCCTGATCCTGATCACCCTCCCTGAAGTCAACATTCTGTTTACAATTGGTTGACCCTGTTCAGCGCTTTGCTGCACATATGCAGTCTGAATTTATCTTATTATCTACCTGGCTTTTATTTATTTTTCCTAGTAAGGGGCGTAAGTCCGTTAAGGCAAAGGCTGTTTGTGTTCACTGCTATCTCCCCAGGGCACGGCACACTGCCCGACACAAAGCAAGTGCTAAAAGATACGGGATAATGAATAAACTCTGCAAGGAAGGTATGACTACGCCCATTCTGCAGATGAGGAAACGGAGGCTTAGCTTGATGAAGTGATCTGAACACCAGATCTCAGTCCCTCTGCCCTTGACAGCCACGGGGCTCCCCACCTCCTCACCCAGTGACCAGGGTCCCGTCGCGGCGGATCCCGAACTGCGCGTTCTGCAGCCCCCCGGAGCTGCTCACCAGCCGCCCGTCGCTCACCACGTTCCCCAGGCACTCGCCCGTGCTCATGCGGAAGAAGCCGCCGTTCTGGGCGGCGTGGCAGCCGGCCGCCCGCGCCGTCTCCTCCACGGTGGCTCTGCGCTTCCCTGCGCAGCCGCCGGGCCCGCCGGGTTCCAGCACCGAGAAGGCGCGCAGGGGCGCAACGACCCGCGTCAGGTGGCCAGCCACCGCGCGGTCCCCGAAGTGCGAGACGAAGGTGCGCACGGCCAGGCCGCCGGCGCCGGGGGTCCCGGGGGGCGGAGGCCAGCTCTCGTGCTCGCGGCCGCCGGTGCGCGCTCGCGTGCAGTCCCGGGGGAGGCGCGCACGTGCGCGGGGATACGGCAACAGCAAGTCGTCGTCGCTCGAGGCCCTGTGGGGACGGGGAGCCGTGAGCTGGGAGGGCTGAGCCCGTGAGTGCCGAGGGCAGGGGGCCCTCCCCGCGCAAGGCTCGCCCCCGGAGCTGCACTCACCCTGCGCCGAGGCTGCCGGCCGCCTCCCCGAGGAAGCCGAGCAGCGCGAGCAGGAAGAGATGCCAGCGACCCGTGGAGGCCGCCATGTTGTCCTCGGGCCTGCGGTCACGTGGGCTCGTCCCACATGATTCAAGACCGGCTGGCGGTAGCTCTCCGCTCCGAATTGCCTGCGCTCCCTGCGGGTATCGCGAGCTCTCTCCAGTTTGCTGCGTTTGGCCGGGCGTGGTGACTGACTTTTTATCTTGATGCAATCCAAACATACAGATAGTTGCGGGGATGGCGTAAAGAATTCCCGTATGCCTTTTACTCGCATTTGCCAGTTGTTCAGGTTTGCCCCGTTGACTTTGTCATTTGTACTTTATTCATACACATTTTTTTCAGAACCAATTGCAACCAAGTTGCAGACATCATGATCCTTTACTCCAGTACTTCACTGTGTTATCTTCTAAGAACAAGGGCATTTTCTTAACCACAGGAAGGATAAAATTAGGACATTTCCCATTGATATAGTTCTATTTATCTAATCCACAGTGGACGTTCAAATTTTGTCAGTTGTCCCTGAGGACTGAACTCTGATCTTTTTCTTTGCCCCAAAAAATTCTTTTCTAAGAGGGGCTGGTGAGTCATGCCTACAAATGATAACATCTCAGTAAATAGGTTTTTATGATGTGGTTTACTTCCTGACCTGATTCCCGTACAGCATCACATGAAGGATAGAAGACCCTTATCTTAACTCAAGCATTCCTTTCCTCTGATTCCTGGTCTTTGGACAAAGCCTAACTTTTCCAACCAATTTTCAACTAAAGAATCCCTAAATCCACCTATGACTTGTAAGCTCCCCCCACCTCCCCCTCTTTGGGATGTCCTGCCTTAATCTCTAAACCCACCTATGACCTGTAAACCCCCACTTTGAGATGTCCCACCTTTTCGGGCCAAACCAATGTATGCCTTCCAGGTATTGATTTATGACTTTACCTGTGACCCCTGTCTCCCTAAAATGTATAAAACCAAACTGTAACCCAGCCACAGCGAGTCCACTTGCTCAAGGCTTCTTGGGCGTGGCTCCCGGTCATGGTCCTCAAATTTGGCTCAGAATAAACCTACTTAAATTATTTTACAGAGTTTGTCTTCTTTTCCATTGACATTCCTGTAATGTCCTTTATAACAATTCCCTTGCTCACCCCCTCTCCCCGAATCCAGGAGTCGCATTTAGTGCCATGTCTCTTTGGTCTTCCTTAATCTGGAAGGCTTGCTCAACCTTTCTTTGTCTTTCATGACCTTGACATTTTTGAAGAGGACAGTCATGCCAGCTACATAATTTGTGGGACTTAGTGCAAAATGAAAATGTGGGACCCCTTGCTAAAAAAGCTATTGAAAAATTGAAGATGATGAGAGAAAGGGTTAAAAGCAAGCCTGAGACCCTTCTGAGCGAGCCCATGTAGCTGGCCCCAGGTATGAGAGCCAGCCTATTTTGTAGCATGTGCTTTAAGCTTCAAGAGGATACTTCTTTTCAGGCCACTTGTTCCAGGGCAGTGTTCAGGGTTAGGTGGTGTTTGGTGTCAGTGCAATGCATGGGCCACGCCAGGAGCTATGGCAAATCTAGTTGGCTTGGACTGCAGGTATGGGGGGCACAGGTATGGGGGCCAGGACAGCCCCTTTCTGTCCACAATCAGCCCTATTAGTGCTTGAACTCAGGCCCCTCTTTGAGCCACTGGTCCTTTGAGCCAATGCCTGATGACGGTCAGTGTACTGTTGGCTAATGTCCCTCGAAATGCATGTCATTCCCAGAACCTCAGAATGTGATGTCATGTAGAAATTAGATCTTTGCAGCTGTAATTAGTTGAGGTCATACTGGAATAGGGTGGGCCCTAAATCCAATCTGATTGGTGTCCTGACAAGAACAGGGAGGCCAGGTGTAGTTCTCACATCTGTAATCCTAGCGCTCTTGGGAGGCCGAGGTGGAAAGATTTCTTGAGGCCTGGCGTTGGAGACCAGCCTGAGCAAGAGTGAGATATGTCTCTACCAAACATAGAAAAAATTAGCTAGGCATGGTGGCATGTGCCTGTAGTCTCAGCTACTCAGGTGGGAGGTAGAGGCAGGGGGATCGCTTGAGCCCAGTAGTTTGTGGCGGCAGAGAGGTACGATGATGCTACTGCACTCTAGCCCAGGTGGCAGAGCAAGACTCTGTCTCTAAAAAAAAAGAACAAGAGAGCCAGATCCCCAGAGATTGGAATGGTGAGATTGTCAGCAACCACCAGGAACTGGGAGAAAGTTGGGGGACAGATTCTATTCTTGAGCTTTCCAAGAGAGCGTGGCCCTGCTGGCACCTTGCTTTTTGGAAATGAATACAGTCAGGGACCGCAAAACGGTCACCAAGAGCAGCTCTGACGCTTGAACTAACCATAGTTCACTTTAGTTAACCCCAGTTGAAATGACTGCTCCTCTCAGGGAGTTACACAACCTGGCATGACGCAAATAAAGTCCTGCAGAGAGATTATGTTTTTCCGATCTTTGCATTCAGGCTGCTAAAAATAGTCACACAAACCCAGGCCTGCTGCCCACGTCTCTGCCTCCGAAGGTCCTCTTTTCTCTACGTCAGCCAGGAGCAGGCTGTCTCTGGCGAGTTCTGACTTTGGTCCTCTCCCTACTTTGAGGTTTCTGGCTGCTTTGCCAAGTTGTTCTAAGCACATGGCAGGTGCCATGGAAATTCTCCATTTGGACTGAGCAGCCCAAACCCACAGCTCCAGCCAAAGCACTCAGCAGCCTGGGCCTTTCTATTTTGCTCATGCCCACTCTTCAGCCGGCATTCCTTTGTCCCCTCTTCATGTCCTCATCCGAGTTCTGCCATCATTTGTATACCGAGCAGGGTTGAGCACCTCCTGTGTGCTCCGTGCTGAGGAAACTGCTGAGGAGACAGACTGGTGCCTGCTCTCGCGGAGCCGGGATCCTCAAGGGGAGGCACAGGAGACGCAGGCGTGGGGTGAGTGTGAGGTGGAGGCCAGGCAGGGCCGGGTCCTGCAGGGAGGGCTCCAGGGACATGAGTTGGATTTCAGCCAAGGGGAAAAAAATAGTCACTGGAAGGTTTGTCCTTTTAAGTGTTAGGTAAATAGCAAGGGAGACTCTCTTAGGGGCGAAGTGCGTGCCTGGCCTTGGGGCTGCCTCAGCAATTGCGCCACCTGGGAAGAAGGACGAGTGCGGCCTGGTCTTGCTGCTGCCCCATCTTAATCCTGCCCAGCAACTGCCACACCTGGGAAGAAGGAGGGACCCTGCTAACCTGCAGAAGAGTGCAGGGAAGTCCCCAGCCACAGGCCAGGCAGCCCAGGCACAATGGGATTTGGAAAGTGACCTGGAGCAACTTAGGCTGATACATGTCATCGACTGTCCATCAGAGTGGTTCTGTGGTGACGTCTGACCCATGAGGAGGGCCCAATCCGGACAGTAGAAAACAGGACCGCAGCTCATAATCAGAGCCCTTTTGTTGCCACAGAGGGGTCTGGTCACCGTTCTGTGGCGAACGTATCTTTCTCTTGCTCTGTAAACCTACCTTGTCCTTCCTCAATAAACTTTGATTCTCGCACTTGCTTTGCTTTTGGGGCGTCTGGTCATTCTTTGGCCAAGAGCACACCAAGAACCGAGAATGGACAAGATTACTAACCCCGAACCCCAACATAAGTAGTTTTATTAAGATGTAATTTACATGCTATAGACATACTGCAGACGGGATCAGAGTTCATCTGTGGGGCCTCCGTGAGCACTGTGTCCACACACGCACCTCTGGGAGCTCGTGACTCTGCTCAGCTTTGGGGCATGCATTTCCTGAACACGCCCCTTCTGCTGCTGTTCACCTTTTTCACGCACTTGGCAGATTCTGGCTGAGAGTGCTAAGCTCCAACAGGGTGTGGAATATAGCAAATATATTTGTATTTCCTCCACAAACCTTGAACGTGGACATTTATGCATTGGTATGAATTCATCAAGTGAGGGAAAGAGTCAGTAGAATGCTTGGGCAGTGCACCCGTCTTCCTCCATCATACGATGGGCCCCTTTGGTCACAACTGTTTCCTGTGTCTCCCCCCCACTCCCCGACTGTCACATTTGAGGGCAGAGACCACGTCTGCTTTCACTGCTGTTTCCCCAGCTCTACGAACAGTGTCTGGCACACAGCGTGTGCTCACGGATATTTCTGGAATTAATGGAAGGGAACACACGCTTGTTTTTGTTCTCAGCGGCATCTCCCATGCCCAAAACAAAGCTTGGCGCACAGTAGGTTCTCAATCTGTATTTATTGGATGAATAGAGGAGGCGTCAGGTTTCAGTCTGAAATGTCGGTTCTTGGCCCACCCATGGCCGAAGGATGACCAGACACGCCAAAGTAAGGCAAGCATGAAAATGAGGTTTATAGAAGAGAGAAAGATAGAATTATAGAGCAAAAGCAAGATGTAGGTTTATGGAGCATGATACATACGCCGGGGATGACGACCCCGCCCATTGTCGCAGCAAAGGGAGAGCAAAAGAAGGTCGAAAAGGGGTTGGTTATGGTCTCAGTCCTGTTTTATAGTGCCCGGATTGGGACCTCCCTCGTGGCTTAGACATCGCCATGGAACCGCTTTGGACAGTTGGGAGTTGCCTTACTACGCATGCGGGGCGTTCTAGGTCACTTGTCGACTCTGCGGTCCCTGTGCTGCTTGGCCTTGGGCTAGAACGTCCTCTGCATTCTTTTGCAGCTGGCGTGCCAAGTTATGACTGGACGATTCATAGGGTATTCCCTCCTCCCAGGTAGGGCAGTCGCTGGGGAGAGGATTAGGGTGGAGTAGGACTAAGATGGGGGCCTGGGCCTCCCTTGTTCTTCCTCTCAGGTGGGGCAATTGCACCAAGGCAAGAGCACCCACTTTCGTCCCTAGGAGGCCTGGACTCTCTCGATATCTACCTGACAGAGGTATTTGCCTGGGAATATTGTTCAGTAGCAAGAGACTGTGGGGACATGCTTTTTTTTTTGGTGGTGGTTGTGGGGAATTTAGGCAATGACTTTCTGCGAAGGAGGCATTTGAGCAGAAACTGGGAGGAAGGTGGAGAATCAATTGTGTGGACATCAGGGGTAGAGTATTCCAGAAAGACAGGAGAGACTTGCAAGGGACTTGAGCTTGGCGTGGGCTGGTTATGTTTGCTGAATGGGTACTTTGGGATATGGTTTTGTTATGGCTTGGCAACGAGAAAGTTCTTGTTTTTTTTCTGTTTTTTGAGACAGAGTCTTGCTCTCTCACCCAGGCTAGAGTGCGGTGGCGTCATCGTAGCTCACAGCAACCTCAAACTCCTGGGCTCAAGGGATCCTCCTGCCTCAGCCTCCCGAGTAGCTGGGACTACAGGCTTACAAAGCCCCTGCGTCTACATCATGTTAGATGCTCACGTGATTCATCCTCAGAGAGGAGAAGCCGAGGGCTGAGCGGGGAAGGAGGCGAGAAGGCTCCCCTGCCAGTGTTTTAGCTGCCGTCGGTGCCCTGCGTTGACGGTGGACATCCCACGGGGAGTGACGCTTCACGTGGGCTCGTCTGACACGTTTTCCTTTCTGTACTCGGTTTTGCATTAGGGTTCCCTTTTCTCGAAAGTGACTTGTAAGCTAAGGTTTCTCCTGTAGTGACTTCACCCCCCGGGTTTAGTGACTGAAGCCTTCTGAAATGAATCAGTGTCTGGCGGCAGTGACGAATCCATCCCAAGTTCAGGAAGGATGGCGGTGGGGCGATTCCCTCCTAATCCATCTACGCGCAGCCGACGTCTCCCAAGGCAGTGTGCCTGCTTCGGTAAATTTTTGTTGTGAAAGAACAATGTGAAAGAAATCCTTGAAGCACACAGAATGCTCAGTGGGTATTAAACTCTTGCCCCTGGTTTCCCAAGGAAACAGCAATCTCAAAAGTAAGCCACGCCCGGGCGTGGTGGCTCACGCCTGTAAACCTAGCACTTTGGGAGGCTGAGGTGGGAGAATCACTTGAGCCCAGGAGTTTGAGGCTGCGCTGAGCTGTGATGACGCCATGGCACTCTCTAGTCCAGGTGACAGAGTGAGACCCTGTCTCAAAAAAAAAAAAAAGTAAGCCAAACTTGTCAGCAAAACCCAGGAATGTTCCTCTGGGTCTGACAACTTAGAGCGACTGCGGGACAATGTCCAGAGGATTAGATGAAGGGAAAGTACTTCACAAAGGCAAGATCTAGAAGAACCACTCCCCACCCCCTCCACCGCTGGCTGGTCCCTGGGCACAGAATGAGCAGGGGATATGTTAATTCAGATGCTCGAGTTCAAATATGACCACGTAGCCACGTAAGGGTGATTGACAGCTGCTTCCCACCTCGAAGCAAAGCGAGATGATGCGTTTAAAGAGCCTCGCAGCCCGAGGGCCGGGGCGATTACCGTGGTTTTCTAGCCCGGAGTCTAATTTTGATTCTGGGTTGTCGTCAGCACCACAGACAGCACCTGAACCCCCAGTGAGGTTCCAGAAGGTCTTTTCTCAAATGCCGAATTAGCGTCGGCGCTCCAGCTGCCTGGTCCGGGTGTAGTCACACCGGGTCGGAGTGTGGGGGAGAGCTGCGAGCTGGGAACGCGAGGAACGCTGAAGCATCGGCTGCTGCTTCCGCTGCTTTGGGACAAGCCCCCACCAATGGGACGTTGTCACCTGTGGCGGCGGGTAATGCTTGCCCGGTACTCGGTGTGTTCCGGGCAGCGGTTTCAGGACTCTACAGACACAATTCTCCCGCAGTGGAGGTAATGTTGAGGCAGGCGTGTTATTATTCCGATTTTGCTGATGAGGAAACTGAGTCACAGAGAAGTTAGTGACTTTCCTCGAGGACACAGAGAGCTGGGATTTGAATCCAGGCCGCCCGACCACAGAGCCACACCATCAGCCACTGCGCTCACCACCTTTCGTGAAATGACGCGACCACGACATGACGTAATGACGCCGTGGGGCTCTTTGCACGGGATGTAGAAGTCAGTGCGTGTCGCCGTTCGCGGGCGTCTCTCGAGTTCCAGCTCGTGACTCGGACTGTTCTCTTCAGAGACCTTCCTTGTCCGGCTGGGACAGATGCCGTAGCCGACACCTGAACACGCAGGCTTTGGGACTCCAGTGCGTGGGCATCTTCAGAACCTGCGCCGAGTGGGGTTGGAGACTCGAAACAGAGACCTAGAGGTTGTTCAAGGCTGTCCTCAAGGCCGAGAAACAAGACTCAACTCTGGGTAAATTGCGCTCTAAGTTTATTTATCTCGCACCCCAAGGTCCCTCCCAGCTCCCGCCTGCCCTCGGGGCTTCCGAACCCCCTGAGATGTGAACCTGGGCGGCTTTGCTCATCTCCTTCTTCAGCTGCCTCCTTCCCAGGACGTGACCCACCCACCCCCGGGGACCTAAGGAAGGAGGACTCAAGGGGTCTGTTCAGCTTCAGGGCAGCAGGCGTGGAGCCGTGGTCTCAGTGGCTGCTTGGTGGTGACAGTGTGGATGGTTGTGGTGCTGCGTTTGCTGGAGGGTATTCTGCCAGGACATAGAGGAAGCCACCCAAGGCCGCAACCGCCGTGGCTGTGTTGTGGGTGGAGCAGCCATCTGGGGAGAGAGACCCCTGTGAGTGCCGGGTGGTGGCGACCTTGGCCCTTTATTCAACACGGTTCCAGTGTAAATGCTTGTCAGATGTCACCCCGCCAACTCGCGAGGCACTGTGTGGGCGCTTTGGTGACCCCTTAGATTCCCTTTGCTGGGCTGGGCGCCCACCCACCACCTGCTAAGGGCTCCCTTCTCCATCTGGGGGTACGCCCCCTCCCAAATGACTTACTCACACAGGGATGCAGAAGCCTGGCCGCCTTGTCTCAGGGGGATAACTCGGGGGTGCAGTTTATGCTCTAAACCATCCCCACCCCCACCCCCGGGGAGATCTGACCTGAGGCCACCCCCTCTTTTAGCTCCCCCTGGCCTTAGCCTGTCCCCCTGATGGCCTACTTCAATCAGCCTCAGGCACCAGACAGTACCTTGTCTCCGGCCCTGCTTAAGACCTTCTAAAATGGGGAAACTGAGGCTCAGGGTCCAGAGCTGAGCTCCCTGGCCCTGGTGACTCCACAGCTCATTTCTTGACCCCAACAGCCCCCCTCATAGCTGCCTCTGGCCTGTCCAGTCCCATGTGACCTCATGGCTCATGGAGTGAGAGTGTCAGGTGTGAGCCCCTGCCTGAGACGGTGCCCCCTTGGATGTATTTAGTTCTCTGAGCTCAAAGTGGGCTGCACAGCTTTGGTCTTGCAACCCATGCGCTCAGGGGGAGGGAGCCAGGACTACTTTCCTCCCTGCTGAAAGACCTTGAACAGGGAAGGACCCCAGGCAGGGCCTGGGAGGGAGGGAAATGCAGATTTCAAGGTGCTGAATTACTAACCCCAACAGTTTACGAGTATCAGTGGCCTACAGTACACCAAATGCCACGGGCAGCACTTTGCACGAGGATCAGGTATTAGTTCCCAACAGCCCTATGAAAGGGGCATGGTTTGGTGCCCATTTTACAGATGAGGAAACTGAGGCTCAGAGACGGTGAGTGACTCCCACAGCGAGTAAGGGGCAGATGCTGGACTCAGACCCAGACAGTCTGACTTCAAACTCTGTGCCCTTAGTCTGTCTCTCTGCCAGCTGCCTCCTGCTCCACGGCTGTGTGTCACAAGTGCAGGAATGAACATGCCACTCCCAGGCAATTTGCTTAGCTGCAGGTGAACCTGGAGGGGTCCCAGGAAAGGCCGTGGGCTCTGGGGTTTCTGCAGCCCCCTCCCTGGGCCTCAGCACAGTCCTCGTATTGGGCTGTCGGGCTCCAGGGAAGGGGCTGCCGTCCAGGGAGAGCATAGCAGGCCCCAGCCACCCCAGCCACAGCAGCCCCAGCTCGCTCTGCCTCAGGCAGGCCTCGCCAGGGCAGGGGCCTCTGGAAGTCTCCAGAGAGCTCCTCTCCCTTCCCTTGTGCAGCCTTTTGGTGGCAGCTACAAAATGGACCCAAGGGATTTGTGCTTCTGCTCCCCTCTCCTGTCTCCCGGCAGGTAGATGACGAGGCCAGGGGGGGTTGGTGGAGAGGCGTTTAGTTACTGGAATCATTCACCGGCACGTGCCGGACATCTGCTCCGGGAGCTGGCTCTTCCACCTCCCTCCCTGCTTTTTACTATAAAAGAAGTTGGCATCAAAGCCCTCTCCCCCTTCTTGGTCCCTCCCTGCCTGTGTCCCTCCCTCCCTTCCTTCAACATTACTCCTTGCCTTGCTTCCCTCCCAATACAGTTATAGCCTATTCTCAGTTTCCCTACATTGGTGGGCTGACCATACAACTTGTCATCACAACCAGGACACTTTGGGGAGGAGAGGGGACACTGTTCACAATGGCTCCAGGACAACAGGTGTAAACTGCAGCAGCCCTGGGAACACCAGGCCGTGTGGCCACCAGGGCTGTCATGGTCATGTGCCCATTGGCTCTCACGTCCCCTCCCTGCCTTTCCTGGCTCCAAACCCCAGCACACAGACCCCTCCAAACTACGGTTCCCAGGCTGCCTTGCCCACTGGCTTGCAGTTAGGTTTGACAACAGGAGGCGCAGGGGAGCAGCCAGCGTGTTTCTTGCCTCCTCTGTATGTCTCGCCCGTGTCCAGCTCCTGCAGGTCTGCTAACACCACCTCCCCCTGCTGTCCCTCCAGCTCCGGGGAGGGTGGTGGGTGGTTTCCTGCAATGGTTAATTCTGGGTTGTCACTTTTTCTGTTTTTAGTTCTTCTAACACTGATTGAAGTAGGCCATCGGGGGGACAGGCTAAGTCCAGGGGGAGCTGAACAAGGGGGTGGCCTCAGGTCAGATCCCACCAGGGGTGGGGGGGATGGTTTAGAGCATAAATTGCACCCCAAGTTATGCCCCTGAGACAAGGCGGCCAGGCTTCTGCATCCCTGTGTGAGTAAGTCATTTGGGAGGGGGCGTACCTCCAGACGGAGAAGGGAGCCCTTAGCAGGTGGTGGGTGGGCGCCCAGCCCAGCAAAGGGAATCTAAGGGGTCACTTCTGAAACGAGTTCTCTATATTAAATTCTTTCTGTCGAAGTTCTCAGGGTGGGTTCTATTTTCCTGACCAGACCTTGGCTGAGAAGGGTTATCTTTGTGATTTTCAACAACAATCGAAATTTCTCTTATTCTCTTTTGACTGGGGGCAGTATCTCTGGAGCCCCCACTTTCTGAGAGGAGGCCATCAGAGATGCCTACCCTTCCCTCCACCTCCCTCTGACTTGCACCCCTTCAGCGATGCCAGGGGCCTTTTTTTCCATTGAGGGAAACCTGGGTATAAAAGAGAACGAATGAGCTCCATTTTGCTAGGATGTCTCAGTTTCAGTCTGAGAAGGTACCTTGGGTATTTTCATTACCTGTAAATTGTTTTTCTCGCCTCTTCACTCGTCTCAAAAAATGCTGTTGGTATTGAATAGCTTTAGATAATTCTTCATCTTTAACATCTGGGAGAAGAGCAAAAGGTGAATTTCTCAAGATGGATTTTTTTCGGAGATGGATTTTTAAATGTGACTCACTAAACTTCTTCCCCCTCACAGCACTTCAAGTAATTTAGATTTTTCTCTTGAACCTTGAGGCTATTCCAGAGGTTTCCTCCTGCACCGGTCTGCAGATCCTTCCACATAGCCACATAGCCTAAATTTGTCATCTGATGGTTTCTCAAATTGCGTTCCTCCAAACACCCACCATCAGAATGGCTGGAGGCGCTAGTTAAAAATGTACGTTCCTCCAAGACAAGCAAAAACCCAGGGAATTCATCACCACTAGACCAGGCTGATAAGAAATGCTCAAGGGAGTCCTACCTCTGCAAGCAAAAAGACAATAATCACTATCACAAGAACAGGAAAAGTATAAAACTCACTGGTAGTGCACATACATAAAGCAGAAAGAGAAATAAATCAAACCTGATCACTACAGAAAACCACCAAATAGCAATGGTAACAGTAAGAGAGGAAAGGAACAAAGGCTACACAAAAGAACCAGAAAACAATTAACAAAATGACAGGAGTAAGTCCTCATCAGTCAACAATAACCTTGAATGTAAATGGGTTAAATTCCCCACTTAAAACACATAGACAAGCAGGGCATGGTGGTGCGTGCCTGTGGTCCCAGCTACTTGGGAGGCTGAGGCGGGAGGATCCCTCGCGCCCAGGAGTGGGAGGCTGCAGTGAGCTGTGATTGCGTCACTGTATATTCTGAAACATACAACACATTGTTATGGACTGTGGTCACCCTGCTGTGCAATGGGATCCAGCAATCGTACTTCTGGGCATGTATCCAAAGGAAAGGAAATAAGTGTGTCAAAGAGATACCTGCAGCCCCATGTCCACTGCAGCAGCATCCACACTAACCAAGATACAGAACCGACCTGAGTGTCCATCCACAGATGAATGGATAAGAAAATGTGGTGGACATGCCCAATGAAATACCACGCAGCCATGAAAAAGAACGAAACCCTGTCATTCACAGCAACGCGATGAGCCTGGAGGATATTATGTGAAATAAGTGAGGCCCAGAAATACAAATGTTGCATGTTCTCTCACACGTGGAAGGTGACAAAGTTGATCTCATAGAGGTAGAGAGTAGAACAGTGGTTACTGGAGGCGGGGAAGTGGAGGGAGGAGGGCGGAGAGGGAGAGATTGGTTAACAGACACCAAAGTGCAGCTAGATTTGAGGAACAAATTCTATGTTCTACAGCTCTATAGCGTGACTACAATGAACAGAAATTTATTGTACATTTTCAAATAGCTGGAAGAGCAGATTTTGAACGTTCCCAACACAAAGAAATGATAAATGTTTGAGGAGATGGATCGGCTAATTTGCCCGATTGGATCATTGCACATTGTATACTTGTGTGGACATATCACGCCGTACTCCATATGTATGCACAATTACTATGTATCTATTAAAAACCATAATAAAAGAGAAAAAAATGCAAGTTCCAGGACCCCCAGCCTGCTGATTCTATAGGTGCAGGGGCCCAATTTTATAAACTCTGTTTTAAAAACGAACTCTCTTATTTCAAAAGCGTTTGCCTCTTAGAGCACCAGGCTTCTCGTGCGGGACGCCAGCACTCTCCCTGCCCGTGGCACCGGCCAGGCGCCCTCATGTGTGTTGTGTCCACTCCCCTCACGGCTGAGGAAGGTGGATATTTTTATGCACATTTATTTACAGACAGGAAAATTGAGGCTCAGAGAGGCGAAGTGACTTCAAAGAGAACCAGCTGTCAAATGTCACACAGCTGGAAGGGCCCTCGCCCTTGCTGACCACCCCACCTAAAGAACCTGCCCCATGGGCTCAGCCTGTTTGTCGCCTTCATGGCTCTTACCAGAACTTGCAATTGTTTCCCTTATTGGTTTGCTTGGTGGTTTCTGTCTCTTTTCCAAAGGACTCTGGTTTTCCCTAGAGCCCAGAGGGCGTCTGGCACATTCTCAGGGCTCAAAACATACTTGTTGATGCAGGTGCAGGGGGCCAACATCCGCCAACGAGACTGCCTCCCATCCTGCAAAGTTGGGCTCCCAAGGCTCCGAGCCCATTTCCACCGCGCATGTCTGTGTGTGAGTGTGTGTGCACGCACATGCATGTTACAAATCTCTCTCAGTGCCCCTGATACCAGTGTGTTGTTTCCCTGCCTGGCCTAGAAACCCTGTCCCTGCAACTGTCCTGCCCCCAGCCAGGGCAGAAGCACAGCTCACCCGGCTTCCCGAAGCATCCTTCCTGTGCCTTCTGCCAGCTGAGAATGGCCTCCAGCCAGCGGAGCTTGTAGAAGTCCAAGAAGCCTCCCATTCCGCAGAACATGACTGCAAGCAAAGACAGGGGGCCTCTGCAGGCCTGCCCACCTCCTCCCCCTCCCTGAGGCCCGCACGGTGCCGCCGGCCTCCTCCCGCTGGGCGGGGCAGCGCCGGGGAGGTGGGCTGGAAGGAGGCAGCCTGAGGCTCCCTTGTAGGAGGGATTTGTACCCCAAGCCATAGAGCAGCCGCCCAGGGGCTCCCTTTCGGCCCCCCCCTATGATTTTGAGGGTCTATCTGGCCGTCAGCTAGTCCGTGTGACTGTCCAGAGCTCCGCCATTGGGTTAGCTTTTGGGGACAGGAAGCTGTCACACAGTGGCAGGTAAAATACAGGATGCCCAGTTATATTTGAATTTTTGATAAACAACGAATACGATTTTTTAGTATAAGTACATCCCATGCAATATTTGGGATGAACTTACCCTAAAAGTGTATTAGTTGCCTATCTGAAGGTCAGGTTTAACTGAGCACTCTCTATTTTCACTTGCTTAATCTGGCGACTCTGTGCCTGTGTGTGTGTGTGTGTGTGTGTGTGTGTGTGTGTGCGCGCGCGCACACACGAGCCCCAGTCACGGACACCCTGCTGCTTTGTCCCACGGGCAGAATGCCAGGCTCACTGTTTTCCATGAAGATGTCCCGGGTGGGGTAGGCGTATCCGATGGCCTCGGCTCTGCGGTTCAGGTCCATCATGTTGGCGCAGAAGAGGTCGATATAGTGCTGGCTGCGGTGGAACAGCCCCTCGGTGCAGCCCTTCTGGGGGACAAACACCCGAGACGAGGGAGTCAGTGGAACGGATGACAGACACACACCCTGTGACGGGCCAAGACTTGCAGTTCTGAGACGGCCCTGCAAGGGGCTGCGTTTGGAGCAGGTCTTTTCTCCTTTTTCTGGGATTTCGTCCCCCCCACACTCCCAGCCTGTTTGGGGCTGCATGACTGGGGGTCAAAGAGAGCCAGCTTCCGGTCCCAGCTCTGCCACTCAGGAGCTGTGTGGCCTTGGCCTGCTAGATCAACATTGCTGAGCCTCAAGGGTTTTCACTAGGAAAGGGTG